GCATGAGGTGTCCCTGGGGGCAGCGGTGCTGAGGGCAGGTGCTCATGAACCCCACATGTAGGAGTCGTCATTGGCATCTACCAGGCAATATCCGGGACCCCACGAATTCCCCAGCAGCCCCCCTTAAAGGAGTGCTGGGCAAGGGTCACCACCTCCTCTCTGGACCCCCAGCAGCAGAACTGGGCCAGCGTGTCTGCCCCTCTCCAGCTCCTGGGCATGGGGAGGCAGCTGGGGTGGTGACAGGCCAGCCTCCTCCAGAGACGTGGACTCCGGGGCCCCGTGAGCAGGGCGGAGTGTCACACCAGCACCTGCTGTGACAGGAGCACGACCGTCACACAGCCTGCCCCTGAGTCTGGGCCAGGGCACCCGTGGGGGGTCTGCAGGGAAACCAAAACCCCGAGGAGGAGAAACTGGCCCTGCGTCTCCCAGGCCCTGGGGAGGCAGGAGAGCGCTGGGCTTTGGCAACCGCTGACAGCCACTTCGTGACTCGATTTCCCCAGGAGTCCATTGGGATTCCACAGCCAGGTGCCCCGGCGAGAACAGAGTCCCTCTGGCCTGGTCAGAGTCTCTGGCAGATGTCCCCTGGCCCAAGTCGGGCCTGCATGGCTGGACTCTGCAAGCCCAGTGACCAAAAACCCAGTCATTGAAGTCGGGGTGGAAGAAAATGAGGCTGGAGGTGTGGAAGGTCAAGTCCACAGGCCTCACTGGAGCGCAAGGGGCCAACATCAGGTTCACAGGAGCTAAGTCAGCCAGCATGGACAACAAGTAAAGAGCTGAGTGACTCCTAGCCGGGCTCCTGGCTCGCTGTGTGACCTAGGGCAAGCGTACTTCTGTCTCTGGGCCGCTGAGTCTGAAGTCCCTTTGGTGGGTGCTGCCTTGAGCACAGAGCTTGAGGTCAAGCAGACCGGCACGGACCCCCAAGGACAGGCCCACAGATGTGCTGCCAGGGGCCCTCACTTGCCCCTTCAGGGTCTCAGTGGGGCATAGATCTCAGCCATCTGCTGGCATCAGGGCTCAGTGCTGGCACTTTCCCGGGCAGGCCTCATGGCCCCTTCCCAACGGGATTATCTGGGTAACCAACAGTGGCTGGGAGTGTCTCAAGCGTGTCCCTCCTCTCTGACAAGTCTGGGACTCAGCAGGCACCTCTCTGCCTCCTGGCCCCGTACTCTGGGGTCTGTGTCATTCCTGCCGGGATATCAGGGTGCTGTGTCTCTCCCTACCTCCACTGTCCCCACTGCAGTTGGGGTGTCAGTTAAGGATCACCCCCCTCCCCCGCCGAGCTTGGGCACAGGCTTCGCCTACAGGAAACCTGAGTGTGACTGATTCTGTACCACAGGGTCCCCGGCACTGCCAGGAGCAAGCCCCCAGCACAGAACTGGAAGAATTCTCTGAACAAAGTCAGGTGCAGCCCCCCCCCCCAAAGGCCCCCAGTTAGTCCCATCCTCCCAGAGTGATGCCACGGGAGTCCCTTGGAGCCCCCTGGCCTGGCCTGGCTCCCGTGCTTGCTCTGCCCCTATGGGCCTTGCGGACCCTCCTTCAACTTGGGAGGGGCTAGAGAGACAGTCCAGGGATTAAGGCGCCTGCCTTCCACATGACTGGCCCAGGTTCAACCCCTGGCACCCCGTGCAGTCCCCTGAGACCCGCTAGGAGTGATCCCTGAGCACTGGACCCCCACACAGATACACATCAATCCCTTCAGCCCAGGGATCTGTGCACCCAGCCCTGTGTCTCCGTGGCATCTGCCCTGGGCCCCCTTCCTGCTTCTGCTCCAAGACTGGCCACTGTTCCCTATGGCCACACAGTCCTCACCTGTGTCTCCAGGGAGGGCAGCTCCATGCAGTTTCCTCCTGTGGGGACTCCAGGGAAGCCACACAGGGACCCTAAGGAACACTTGTCGATATGCGAACACTTACTGAAACAAGGTAGTCTTAGTTTGAAAGCTGAGTTAGGCTGACAAGAGGGACTGGGAATGTGGTTTACAGCACCTTTATTTCCTGGACTGCTTTCTTGGTGGGGGTTCTGTGACCTCGCTTGCGCTCTTATCTCTACTCCCTTCTCCAAACAGAGTCCTTTGAGATAAATCCACTTTAGAGACCTCTGCACCTACAGCCACATCCCCTTGATAGGTAAAAATCTTGTTTGGGTTAGAATAGCATAGATAAGGGAATGTCTGTAAATGTTTACCCTTGTTCTTCTTCTGATGATTGTCAGTTTAAGACTATAAATATGGTTTCTTTATCCAGTCATCTGTTCTCAGGCACTTGGTTTTTTTCCAGATTCTGGCTATTGTGAGTAGTGCTGCAATGAACATAGATAGACGTGCAGATGGCATTTCTACTGAGGGATTTTGGGCCCCGAGGGTATATTCCCAAAAGTGGTATTTCTGGGTCATATGGAAGCCCAATTTCCAGTTTTTTGAGGAATGCTCATATTGTTTTCCTAAAAGGCTGGACAAGTCAGCATTCCCACCAACGATGAATGAGAGTCCCTTTCTCTGCATCTACACCAGTACTGGTCATTCTTATTCTTTTTTTTTTTTTTGATGTGTGCCAGTCTCTATGGTGTGAGACCATAGATAGTTCATTGCTGTTTTGATTTGCACCTCCCTGATGATTAGTGATAATAGAGCTTTTGGCTATCTGTATTTCTTCTTTGAGAAAGTTTTGGTTCATTTCTTCTCATTTTTTGATAGAACTGGATGATTTTTTTCCTTGTAAAGTTCTTCCAGTGCCTTACATATCTTTGATATTAACCCCTTATAAGATGAGTATTAGGTAAATAAATTTTCCCATTTTGTGGACTGTCTTTGTATCTTGGTCACCATTTAGTTTGAGGTGCAGAAGCTGGATACAGAAACTCTGGTACATCTACACAATGGAATACTATGCAGACACCAGGAAAAATGAAGTAGTGAAATTTACTTGTAAATGAATGAACCTGGAGAGTATTGTGCTGAGTGAAATGAGTCAGAGAGAGAGGGACATAGAATGACTGCAAGACTTAATGGGATATATAGATATAGATATATAGATATACACATATAAAATAGTATGAGACTAATATCCAAGGACAGTGAAAACAAGGGCCAGGAAGACAGGTCAATTGTTGAAAGCTTGTCACAAGTGGTAGGGTGGAGAGAGCAGTTAGGATAAAGAAGGGACCACTGTGATGATGATAGTTGGAAATGATCACTCTGGGCAAGAACTGAGTGCTAAAAGGAGTTAAAGGGATATACATGATAACCACACTGGTGAAGGAATGGGTGATGAGACATTGTATGACTGAAACATAATAATGAACAATTTTGTAATTGTGTATCTCATGTGAATCAATTAACAATTATAAATATGGAGCATGATGAAATGTGGGGTTTCAGTCTTTGAGACTGTGAGCACCATGACCCCATGCTTTTCTCTCTTATGTCTTATTTTTTTAAATTTTTGTTTGTTTATTTGTTTTTGGGCTATATCCAGCGATGCGTAAGAATTATTCTTGGTTCTGCACTCAGAAATAATTCCTGACGGTGCTTAGGGGACATATGGGATGCCAGGGATTGAACCCGGGTTGACTGCACATAAGGCAAGCGCTCTCCCAGCTGCCCTATTGCTCTGGCCCCATGTCTTGTTTTCTTAATCCTCACGACATCCCTGCTTCATCTTGGCAGGTCCCCAGTAGACATTAGCAATGGATCAGGGCAAGGGCCTGGGGTGAGAACCCACGTTGGAGGCTCTAGCAAAGTGCTGCCATGCACGGCCACACCCCTGCCCACTTGCCACCCCCATATGACTTGGTCTCAGCCAGAACACCTACATGGTGACCAGGACTAGGGGAGTCCCAGGAGGTATGGGAGGGGGCGGGGCCATCTGAGAAGCAGGCGCTTCTCCCTGTACATCGGTGCCAGGAGTGAAGGATACCCACGGACAGGCCAGGGACCTCGGCTGGGGACATGTCACAGCGCCCATGAGTGTTTCCTGTGTGAGGGGTGCCTCCATCGGCAGTGCTCCTGAGCAGGGCAGGCACTGGAGGCGCAGGTGCAGAGGTCTGGAGGGGCAGAAGCATCCCTGTCCCCACCCCAGCTGTGACCACAGACCCCTTCAACCCCACACTGTCTGCTCAGCCCCAGACAGAAACCCCCACACAAGGCAGGGTGAAGGGCAGGCTGAGGGTCTCTGGGGGCTGCAGAGTTGGTGGTCAGTGGTTCTTAAGTGTCTTAAGTGTCTGTGCTCAACCCCTATTGTCTCACGTCTTTGGGTGCCAGCACCCTGAGTCCCACCAGCCTGCTCCAGGGACAGAAGGACTCCAACACAGAGCCACCCCTGTCCCGGTCAGCCTGACACCCCCACACGGAAGTGGGGTTAATGGGGTGCTGGCCGCCAACCAGGCCCCCCCCCCCACACCTCCCTGAGCCCCTGGTGCAACACTACAACTGTGGCATTTCTTTATGCTGATGAGCATCCGACCCCCCAGACAGAAGTCAGCCCCCACAAAGCCAGGGTGCCCGCGGGGTTCCACCACATGGTCTCTCCAACCCAGGAGCGCCAGGACCAGCCATGCCCAAGCTCGGCCACAGAGCCCCTGGCTCAGGGGAGTCCTGAGCAATGGGTGCGGGTCCTGGCTGCCCACAGTCCAGCTCATGTAGCGGTGGGCGGGAGCCCCCAGAGGGACAGCGCAGAGCCCTATCTGCAGGACCACTGTGCTCCAGTCTCGCGCCCCAGAGGATTCTGCAGGGACAGTGACCTGGACAGTCACCAGCCCTCCCTCACTTCCCTCAGCAGGGGGGGCAGCGCTCGGCAGAGGCACCGTGAGTTCTCCTGCAGACCGTGGGCGATCGGGCTGGGGCTGCCCTCTCTGGATCTGATCCTCCTCATCACACAGGGACTGTCCAGGGCTGGCTGAGCGGCCCCTCGGTGTCCACTGCTCTTCACCCTGACATGGCCTCCGCTGTCACCTTGCAGAGGAGCACAGGACATGGCGGCCTCGGGACAGAGACACGGAGTAGCTCAGGGTGCAGTGGGGGCCTGAGGCTGTGGGTCCCCAGGGCTGGCCTGGGCTGGGTCCCCTCGGGCTGCGGTGCTCAGGGCCTCCAGCCAGCGCTGACGCAGCTCCTCTGACGGCACGCTCAGGTACCAGACCTGCTGGGCCTGCTGCAGCGTCCAGGCGTGTCCAGCGTCCAGCCTCTCCACGCTCCCCACGGGGCTCACCTGGCAGCCAGGGAGGGCAATAGCCGAGGGCAGCCAGTCAGCCTGCGCAGAGGAGAGCGGGATCAGCCATCCGGCAGTGTGCCCCGGGCAGAACCCCTGCAGCCTGAAACCCAGGCTCGGGGGCAGGAAGTGGAGGGACCCCCCCCCCCCATCCTCCGACCCCTGCTGCTAGGCTCGGCCATAGACACACCTGGTGGCTTCTCCCGCCCCACACCTGGCCCGGCACAGACACACACCTGGCTGCTTCCTTTCGGGCACAGCACCAGCTCCGGGGGCTCAACCGCGGGGATGGAGGCCCACACCTCAGTCCACGCCACACAGTCCTCTGACACCCGCAATGCGCCACACAGCAGGCTGGGCTGGGGGTCCGCAGGGCTCAGCTCCTGCGGACACAAGAGGAGTGGTCAGGCGCCCACACTGGGCAACCCCAGCAGAGCCTGCAGCAGAGGGGGCAGTATGTGTGTGTATGTGTGTGTGTGGGTGGGGAGGGAGGGTGTATGAGTGTGGTATGTTTGTGTATATGTATAGTGTCTTGTGTGTATACAATGTGATACAGGTATGGCATGTGTGTGTATGTGGAGTGGTTATATGAGGTGTGGGATGTATATGTATGTGTATGTAGTGTGGTCTGTGTGTATGTGTATGGTGTCTTGTGTGTGTATGGTGTGATATGTGTATGTATGGTGTATTTGTGATTTATGTGTGTGTAGCACTGTCCTCCCATTGTTTGTTGATCTGCCCGAGTCCATCTCCGTTGTAAGACTTGTTGTAACTATTTTTGGCATATCGAATACACCACGGGGAGCTTGCCAGGCTCTGCCGTGTAGGCGGGATACTCTCGGTAGCTTGCCGGGCTCTCCAAGAGGGACAGAGGAATCGTACCCGGGTCGGCCGCATGCAAGGCAAACGCCCTACCTGCTGTGCCATCGCTCCAGCCTGATTGTATGTGTCTATAAAATGTAGTATGGTATGGTATATGTGTGTGTGATTTATGTGTGGTGTGCTTTGTATGTGTGTCAATCATGTCTTGTGTGTGTGGTGTGGTATGGGTGTGATGTGTGTGTGTGGTATACGTGTGATTTATGTGTGGATAGTGTGCTATGGAGTGTGGTACATGTGTGTGGTGGGTGGTGTGGTGTATGTATGTGGGAAGGTTTACATGTGGGGTGTGTGTGTGTGTGTGTGTGTGTGGTGGGTGTTGCGTTTATGTTTGGGAAGATTTACATGTGGAGTGTATGTGTATGTGTGTGTGTGTGTGTGTGTGTGTGATGTGTGAGTGACACTTGGATCTCAGACCTCAGAGCTGAGAGAATAAATTCTCTCCTGCATCGGGCCCTGCTCTGGGGATTTCTATGCAGCCTGAGAGGAGCAGTGCCACTATGATACGGGGAGTTACAGGAAATGTGTCTCTGCTCGTCCTGCAGATCCCGGATCACGATGCCCCCTTGGGAATTCCTCAGTGTGGGGTGATAATGGTGTCCCCTCAGATGTTTGTGAGGGGACTCTGAGGAGAACTGGCCACAGACCACAGGTTGGCATTTGTAGCCCACTGACTCACAGCCAATGGCCAGTGAGTTAATGAGTCCATTGTGCCGGGCAGCCAGGAGATGGTGCTTCAAGAGAACAAGCATGACTTGGGGACAGTGGTGCCCCTGGACAGGGCACGAGAGCCCCATGTCCCTCCTTTGGAACTCCCCCTGGCCCGAAGCATCTCTCTCAAGGAACGATTCCTGTCACCTCCTTCCTAACGCCTGGTAACCCACTCAGGAGTGAGCGTCCTTGAGTTTGGGAAGCTGCCCTGGCAAGTCGGGTGAACCCCACTGGGGACCATGAGAGCTCTGTGCAACCAGCTCAAGAGCTTAAGGGGCAGTGGCTGGAACTGGGGTCTGGAGCAGAGGTGACCCTCCACCCCCCCACACACACACTCCTGTGCCATCTGACGCCCTCCTTGGAGACTGCGAGACTTGGCAGCCTGCGGGTGTCTGAGCGCTACTGGCATGTGGGACCCAGCCCGCCCCACTGTCCATGGGTCGGAGGAAACATCCATACATGCCCACATTGGAACTGGGTTGGGGAATCCCCCCACCATCACATTCCTGTAAGGGGTTGAGGGGTTTCCCAGCCCTTGTCGGTGATTGGACCCCAAAGCCCAACAACACACACAGGGCAATCCTCAGGACTCTTTCACCAGCTGCTCCTCTGGACCCCATGGGGAGTCTGCTCTTGGGCCCTGGCGTGGCTGAGGTCCCGGGGTGCCACCCACCTCCACACCGGGCTTGGACCCAGCGGGCTCCTCGGGGCTGGGGCTGGCAGGAGCCACGGGCTGGGTCAGGAAACAGTCTCGACAGAAGCGGCTCTGCCTGCCGTGCTCGGTCTTGAACTCAGAGCACTTCCCGCAGATGACCTGGAAGATAGGGCACAGGAGGTTGTCCAGAAGTCAGAGTCCCAGGCTGACCCTGCTAGTGCACAGCCCAGCCTCCTCATCCAGGGGGTTGGGGGCGGGGCAGGAGACAGGGAGGCCGTTGAGGGGTCCCCCAGCCCTCCACGGACCCCTCGCTGTGTTGGGGGCCGTGGAGGCGGCCCCAACACAGCGACTTCTGACATCGCTTGTCAGCGGGGAGATGCAAATCAGCCTCCGTGTGGGCACCTCACGCATCAGCTGGCGTGATCTAAAATAAGAAAACAGGCCTGGTGCAGCTGCCTGCCCCAAACCCTGGCACGGAGCCAAGAGCGAATGTAAAATGACAGCTGAGTGGAGGACAGATGGCGGCTTCCCAAAAGCTAAAAATAGAATTGCCCAACACTCCTGCCATCTCTCTGGCCTCTGTTTGCCCAGGCTCACTGGGTAAACAGAATCACAACCCGATGCCGCAAACTCAGCGGTGTCTGGGTATTGGCTCCCACAAAACGTAACGTGGCAGAGCAAAGCCATCCTTGAACGCGCTTCCTCAAAGCAACACGTGATTCTGAATGGCACAAAGTGGATGCCGCCCAGGCGTGGGCTGAGCCGGCTGTGGTATTGGCACTCCATGGGCTTTACTCAGAGGACCAAGAGGCAGCTGCAGGGAGGGCTGGCTGGATGGAAAGATGAATGCCTGCAGCCCATAGAGTGACCCTCCATGAAACCTCTCAGGGCCACCCCAGGTGGAGTGGACCTCTCTTGACCTCTGTCCTGAACAGAGCATGCTGGAACTGTGCCAGGAGCATGACCCCCATCGTTCCCCTTCCCCCCAGGGCTGAGGTTCTGTTAAGTCTCTGGCAGAACTTTATAATTATTTTTGGTTTTCCAGTTTTGTGCCACACCCAGCGATGCTCAAGTCTTACTCCTGGTTCTGCACTCAGGGATCACTTCTGGCGGTGCTCAGGGGACTATATGGGGCCCTGGGGCTCGAACCCAGGTCAGCTGTGTGCAAGGCAAGTGCTCCGGCAGATTAAACTCAACCTGGGGGTATAACCCTCAGTTTTCAACAGCAAGACTCAGACCTCAACAAATCTTCATTAAGTACAAGTAACTTCTTTTGGGGGGTGTTCTGGGGCTAGGAGGGAGTTCCCAAGCAGGGAACCATTCCTGGTGATGTTGGGCCCACTGGCCCGGCTGGTTCAATGCCAGCATCTAGAACATGGAGCTGCTCAGGCCCAGGGACGAGGCTCACCAGGACCCCCAGCAATTATGCCTGGGACTGTCAGGGGGGGGGGGTGTCTCAGGGCTGCACCCAGTGAGACACTGGGGGTAAGGGCTCATTTTTCTGGGACTCTGTTCTCAGAGTTTCTTTCTTTCGTGGCCTCCTATGGGGGGAGGCCAGCTGGGAGTGCCGCTGCCCTGGAGAGCTGGGTGGCCAGTCAGGCAGAACACAGGCCACTATGAGGCGCTTACTGCAGACACGTTCCCCAGAGGCCACAGCTCTGAGCCCAGATGGCCCCAATTTGGTGGGGGTGGAGGCCAGTGCTGGGAAGGTCTTCAAGCTTTCCAATCCAGCTGGGATGGAATTGAGTCAAATCTCTCAGTCCTGGACAGTCCAAACTGAGTACCTGAAATGTTAAGGTCATGACTGTGGGATGGGGTCGGGTGGGAGTGGCGGAAGGGATACTGGGGACATGGGTGGTGAGAAACGTACACTGAGGAAGGGATGGGTGTTTGATCATTGTCTGACTGAAACTCAATCACGAAAGCTTTGAAATTGTATCTCAGGGCTGGAGTAATCAGACAGCGGGTAGGGCGTTTGCCTTGCATGCGGCCAACCCAGGTTCGATTTCCAGCATCCCATATGGTCCCCTGAGCACCGCCAGGGGTAATTCCTGAGTGCAGAGCCAAGAGTAACCCCTGTGCATCACTGGGCGTGACCCAAAAAGCAAAACAAAAAAAAAATAAAGAAAAAATCTCACGGTGATTCAATTAAATAAATTAACTGAATAAAAAAGACTTCCAAAAATATATATATAGGTCCTATATATATCTTGTTCCTCAAGCCCATGTTCTCCATTGAACACTTATCTTGCTTGCTTGTCTGTTTCTTTGCTTGTTTATTTTCACTCTGGAGAAGCCCATGTTCTCTCTTGAACACACACTCCTCACTTTCTCTCCCTTCATATCTCTCTAAATAAGTTTCAATAAAAACTATCTTGCTTCACACCCACAAAAATGTTACAGCTACAATCAGCACATTTACCTACACTCCAGCCATTTTCAAGCCCTTGTATTAACCCACCCATGCACCCACCCACCCACCCATCCATCCCCCGACCCCTCTAGTCATCCACCCATCCATCCAACCCACCTAACCATACTTCCATCCACCTACCTAAACATCCACCTCCCCACCCACCCACCTAAACATCATCTCCCCACCCACCCACCCACCCATCTACCCCACTCTTACATTCACCCACCCATTCCATCCACCAACTCACCCATCTGCCAAGCCATCCTCCCACACACCCATCCACCCACCCACCCACCCATCTACACTACTCTTCCATTCACCCACCCACCAATCCACCCACCCACCCATCTACCAAGCCATCCTCCCACACACCCATCCACCCTCCCACCCATCTACCAAGCCATCCTCCCACACACCCACTGGTGCATCCTTTATCCACCCTTCCACAGACTCAAACAGCCATCGGCCCATGCTCTATCCATCCATCTTATCTTATCTGTCCACCCATCATTCAAGGACACACCCATCATCCCTTCCTCCCCCTCAGTGTTCCAGGAGGGCCAGTTCAGGAGCAGGCTGTCAGTGACACCCACTCAAGCATCTTCGCAGAAGCTCTGTGCTGCGCCCCTTGCACACACAGTGAGCCGCAGAACACCGAGCCCAGCAGCTGTTCTCCCCTCACGAGCACTGTTTCCTTCCAATGTTAAGGTCAAGAGCTTGTCTTTGGGAGGAAGGTTTTGGGGACAAAGTGCAGAGGAATGGAGAGGGCATGTACCTGGGGTGCTGGCAGAGGTGGGGCTCAACCTTCAGCACCACGGGAGAGTTGGCCCAGGTGGCAGGAGGGGTGCCCACGAGACACACCCTGCCCTGGAAAGGCATGTGCGCCCCCAGTCCTGTTCTTAGGATGCCACCTCCAAGCTCTGGGGCACTAAGCTGGCACATTTTTCAATGGCAACAGCTGTTCCCTAGACACCAAAAGGGTGCAGAGAACAAGACTGGCTTCCACATCAGATGAGTTCTTTTGTCTTTTCTTTTCTTTTCTTTTCTTTTCTATTCTATTCTATTCTTTTCTTTCCCTTCCTTTCCTTTCCTTTTTTTGGGTCACACCCAGGAATGCTCAGGGTTTATTCCTGGCTCTGAACTCAGGATGCCAGTGACTGAACCTGGGTTAGCCACATGCAAGACCAACATCCTTCCCGCTGTCCTATCACTCTGCCTCCAGTGTGAGTTATTTCATATTGGCTCCCAGGATCTCTGTGACCAGAAAGACACAATCTGGATGCTCCTTCGCAGAGCAAGTGTGCATTTCAAAGACAGCTGCCTGGTATGGCCTCTTACCCCAATCCATCAATGTGCATGCCCCACCCCCCCCACCCACTCCTCTTCTCCCACGGCCTCCCCATCCCCCACCCGCCCACTCCCCCACCCAGACTGACTCACCGCCCCACATGGCTTGCAGTGGTGCCTCCGCCTGGTGATGGAATTGAAACTGTCGCCACAGATCCTGCAGCCCTGTCTCTCCCTGTCACGCCTGGTCTTAGAGGACCCTCTCCTCAGCTCGGGCTACAGGGGGCAAGGGAGGGCAACATCAGCTTCCAAACACACATGGAGGGCAGCTGAGTGCCCAGAGGTCAGGCATGTGCTGGGCCCAGAGCAGTGGCAAAGGCTCACATTCACACATGCAACACTAACACATACACACACACACACACACACACACACACGAGAGCAATGCACAGGCACACACACTCACCACACACACACTGGAGTGGTGGTGTAGCAGGAAAGACAGGAGACAGGAGAGCCCAGCCCCGCCCTGGAGTCATTGTGCAGATTTGAAGTGGGTCCAGAAATCTGCTAAATGGCTGGGCCTTACTCCGCTAACCAGAGCCGGGCCAAGCATCAGGGGCGTTCCGTAGGGAAGCAGGGGTTTGATCAAGAGCAGCAGCGGTGGGTGGGGGGAGGCACCAGCCCAGGGCAGCTGCCCTCTCACTGTGGCAATGCCTTGGGCCTCGCTGTCTCCCAGCACGGAGAGCCCAGAGGGATTAGGGGACAACCAGCCCATAGGCAGGGGTCTATCCAGCCCCAGCACCCAACCCACGCCTCTTTTGGAGGAGGTTTGTGTCCAAGTTAAGATAAGGAAGGACTCAGATTCCCCTGAGGATGCCCGGGCGGCCAAAAGGTGTGGGACAAGGGCTCTCAGCGAGGCCCGAGTGTCTCAGGCCTGAGCCCAGGGCAGCACGGCTCTGGAATTTTCCTCCAGCCAGTGCCCACATGGCAGGGAGGTCAGAGGAGCTGGCCAGGAAGATTCAGCCAGGAACAGTGGCCTCAACACGGCAGCTGGTGGGGACCAGGCTCCCTGGAGCCCTGCCAGTGGGAGGGGAGGGGCGCTCTGTGGGGAATACCGGGTGTCTCTGGGTGGCTCTCGGGCCACAGGCTGGGGCTCTCCAGAGCCTCCGGCCGCAAGGCTGGGCTGGGAAATGAGAGATGAGAGGGTCCTTTTTCCCATCTGCCGAGGCGACTCCCAGAGCCAAGGTCACTTCTTCTGGGGGCCTCCTGAACTCAGCTTGGGGCCACTTCAGCTCGCCCCGAAACCCACCAACTCTGCTCTCGGAGATGCCGCCGGGAAACCCAGCAACCCAGAGGTGCGGGGTCTTGTGGCACGTCCATGTTGGTGACAGGGCTGGGGATGGGGCTCCTGACTTTATAGTGAGCCCCGCACCCAGCATGCCAGGGACAATGCATAGGACACAGGAGGTTGATTCCCAGGATGCGCTGTGAGGCCACCTGCTGTGGAGGCCACTGCCACTGTCAGTCACTGCAGGCTGGTGGCATCGGATCCCAGAGCCAGGCCACACAGGGCAGCGGGGGTGGGGGGCTAGCTCCTGGCTCTCAGCCCCTCTCAGGACCCCTGGTCTGACATCACTCACCTGCCTGCTCCCCCTCACATCTGCCTGTGGGCACGGGGGTCACTCACCCCTACAGCACCTCCTCCTCCATCGGCCACCACCACAGGCTCCTCGGGGTTGGCGCCCGGCGTCTGGGAACACAGGGAAAGCTGATGGGAGCCAGGGTCCACGCCCGTACCCTGTGAGCAAGGGGGGTGGGAGCCCCGGACGTACTGAGCATGGGCCGGGGAACACTCTGGCATGCGTACCTGCCATCTGCGGGCCCATGCTGGCCGCCCTGGCCCAGGGCACGGTCACTCAGCACAGCCCAGGGTCGCCCACCCAGGGCTGCCCGCTTGGCTTCTTGAGGAGTCTACATACACCTGTCACTCCCATGAAGCAGCCACAGCACAGGTCGGTCTGCGTGAGTGCAGAGTGTGGCCGGGCCAGCAGCCAGGAGGTGCAGAGACAGCTGGCCAGGTGGGGTGTGACAAAAGCCTTCCTTGGCCAGGCTTCTCCTCTCATTCCCCCATCCCTAGGCAGCTGCCTGGTATCAAGGTACAGCGGACTCCCCCCAGTTAAGAGAAGGTTGGCCTGGGCATAAGCCTAGGAGGCGATGGACATCTGAGCTTCTTCCCTTCAACTCCCCCCTGCCCCCGCTCACCCTCTAGACAATGCCCTGGGCAGGGCCCTCTGGGACCCTGGTCACTGGCACTTACCAGGGGGTCTGCAGGCACTGAGGGGTTCTCATCCAGGCCTAAAGAGCTGCCAAATGCCTTGAAGCTCTGACTGTTCTGTTTGTGCTTCTCGATGGTGGCTTCAATGACCTGAGGTGAGTGTCCAGCATTGTCAGGGGCAGGGTGGCCTCTCCTGTTCCCCAAGCCCTCACCCACCAGGCCCCCAAGCCAGTAGCCCATGGTGAGTGGTGAGTGCACCTCCACCTGCCCCCTTTCCTCCCCTGCCCTCCCCCTCCTCGCTCTCCCCAACGCATGGAGGAAAAAGCTCCTGGCATCTAACAGTGCAAGAAACAGGGGGTTTCCTCAGGATGCACAGACAAGTGGGCATAGCCCAGGGGTCTTGGGGGCTCCCAGCCCTGCACCAATGCAAACTGGCCAGATGCCCAAGAATTGTGTTGTCTGACTGCTGTAATAGCGGAGGAGCATCACCTGAATCCAGTCTTTCTTCTCTTCTTCTGTCCTGTAAAGAACAGTGTGGCATTAGCCCAGCCAACACATGACTGCCCTGCCCTGCACGCCTTCCAGATCACAGCAGACCTTGGCAAAGATCTGGCACCAGGGGCAAGTGTGGCACTAGTCAGAGCCGGAGCCTGGTGCCACCTGACGGGGCAGTGGGACTCAGGTCAGATACCTGCCTCTAGCCCGCATTTCCTCCTCAGGGATCCACCTGTGATACAAGGCACAGAGGCAGGAAACCAGCTTCTGCTCTAGTGGGACTGGGGGTGGGGGTGGGGTCGGGGGGAGCCTGGTACCCAGCAAGGAAACGGAATAGCTGTAATAGAACTAGGTTGCATTAGGAAGTGATGCTCAGTGGCGGGGGATTTCTTTTGCTCTTTGTTTCGTTTTGTTTTTAGGCCATGCCTGGTGGTGCTCTGGGCTTATTCTGGGCTCTGTGCTCAGGGATCACTCCTGACAGGGCTCAGAGGACCCTATGGGGTAACAGGGATTTAAATCAGGTCAGACCCATACAAAGCAAATGCCCCGACCAGTTGGACTGTTACTCTAGCCCCCAAGGAGGAGTGATTTCTGAAACAGCGAGAAAGCAAGAGGCTGAGCAAGCAAAGCTCTTCGTGGCCATCGACGACTCTCCAGATCAACACACAAGCTATGGTCTGGAAGGAGGCCTCGGCATGGGGAATGGTCAGCCAGGGCAGGGAGCAGGAGGTCAGAGGCTTAATGGCCACAAACTTCTCCTTAGGATGGTTCAAGCTCAAACCACAGAGTGCCTGGGAGGGGCAGAAAGAGTCACACAGCAGTGACCGGCAAAGGTCCATGATGGCAAAGAGCGGTGGATGGCAAAGGGCAGCAGATGGCAAAGGGCAGTGGACAGCAAAGGCAGTGGACAGCAAAGGGCAGCAGACAGCAAAGGGCAGTGGACAGCAAAGGCAGTGGACAGCAAAGGGCAGCAGACAGCAAAGGGCAGTGGATAGCAAAGGTAGTGGACAGCAAAGGGCAGCAGAAAGCAAAGGGCAGTGGACAGCAAAGGCAGTGGACAGCAAAGGGCAGTGGATGGGATGGCAAAGGGCAGCGGACGGCAAAGGGCAGTGGACAGCAAAGGGCAGCGGAAGTACCGGCTCTGCAGCTCCAGAGACCGCTTCTTCCCGGTGATGACAAATGTGTGGGCTGCGCTGCGCTTGGCCACGTCCTGCACCTAAAGCAGGACCACCAGGGGCAAAACAAAACCTGCATTAATGGTGCTGTAAACCACAGGATCTCCCAAAAGACAAAAACAAAAACCCTGCTGTCTCTCAGCCTGGAGCCTGGAGGTAGCCCACGGGGACAGCAGAGAGGGGAACTGCACTGGACCGGCTGGGACACTTGCCCGTGAGAGTCAGGGTCACTCTCTGTCGTGCCAGGAGTTGGAACCTAGGGCTCTAGCACCCGAAGCATGCACTCCGACTCAGCCAGCCGTATCCCGGCTCCTAAACACGGCAGAGAAACACTAGGCAAAGTTTCTTTTTTTTTTTTTCACTTTTTGGGTCACACTCAGCAATGCACAGGGGTTACTCCTGGCTGCACTCAGGAATTATTCCTGGTGGTGCTTGGGGGGGACCATATGGGATGCCAGGGATTGAACCTGGGTCGGCTGCATGCAAGGCAAACACCTTACCTGCTGTATCATTGCTCCGGCCCACAAAAAAGATTTTTTTTAAAGCTTATTTATTTATTTTGGCTTTTTGGGTCACACCTGGCGATGCTCAGGGGTTACTCCTGGCTCTGCACTCAGGAATTACTCCTGCCAGTGCTCAGGGGACCATATGGGATGCTGGGAATTTTGAGCCCAGTCAGCTTCATGTAAGGCAAATGCCCTACCCACTGTGCTATTGCTCCAGCCTCCAAATAGTTTCTTTAAGCCATGAGAGAAAGTATTTTTTCCCCCTCCATTTCACTGTTGCTTTCACTGCTCTTACATCTGATTTAGAAAACTTCAAGGCAGGAAGGGATTAAAGTAATCGATTGAGATTCAGCCAAAACTGAGTTACTGGCTGTATACTTGTTGGTCCAAGTGCCACCTTGCTCAGGAGAGGGGCCGACTCCTGCTCTCCAGCGCCCACTGCCAGACAGAGGGGATCCGGATAGGGAGGAGAGCAAGTCCCCTAAGCCCCAACGAGGCCGAGGCCGTGGGGAGAGGGAGGGAGCTCAGGGCTCTGTTCCCCACAGGTGGGCCGCCTTCCCTGCCGGGATCAGTGCACTCCGGCTCTGCCTCGGGGACTGTGCTGGGTGCCCTCCACAGAGCTTCTCACATACAGCAGACCCCATGCCTGGGCACACAGGCAGATCTGCATCAGGGAGAGGAGCCGCGGGGTACCAGCCCAGGACAGAACTGCAGGATGGATGGGATGAGGGCAGGCTGCAGGGTGCCGGTAATCCCCGCTCTGCTCCGAATTCTCCCAGAGTGAGGGGCTCACCCACCTGCAGGCCGGAAATGTCCATCTTCTCCCGGACACTGAACTTCTGGCCCATGAGCCGCAGTTTGGGCACACAATAAAGGATCATGCTGTTGAACTGATAGAGACAGGGGTGAGCGAGAGCAACGTGCTGTCAGAGGACAAGCCCAGAATGAAGAATCCCAGGAGGGCGGGGCGGGGGTGGGGGTTGGGGGGGACTAAAAGGGGCGTGGCTCCACCTTGGGCGTGGTCGGGTGGGTGGGCGGGCGGGGCTCTGAGACTGGGTGGGGCGGGGCTTAGCCCTGACTGATGGGCTAGTGGGGGCGGGGCTCTGAGATGGGCGGGGCCTAATGCTGACTGATGGGCCAGCAGGGGCGGGGCTCTGAAACTGGGCAGGGTGGGGCCTAGCACTGACTGATAGGCTAGTGGGGACGGGGCTCTGACATGGGCGGGGCCTAACGCTGACTGATGGGTTAGCGGGGGCGGGACTCTGAGACTGGGTGGGGCGGGGCCTAGCGCTGACTGATGGGCTAGCGGGGGCGGGGCTCTAAGACTGGGCGAGGTAGGGTGGGGCCTAGCATTAACTGATGGGCCACGGGGGCGGGGCTCTGGGACTGGGCGGAGCCAGGCCATTCCCCATTGGACTCACTAGGAAGAGGTGTCGGTCCTGGGTGGTACCGTTCTTGGCTGACAGCTTCTGGATGGGGCCCTCTTTGATCAGCTCATTGGCCGGGTTGACAATGTCCTCTTCCCCTCCCAGTCTCTCGTACACCTCCAAAAGTTTGTGCATTTTCTCCTGCAAAAGACAGTGGACTCAGGACTCTGTGGCCAAGGTAGTGGAGGTCTAGATTGCTGGGGACTCGCAGGTAAGGAGCCTTACCCTACAGTGGCGGTCCTATGCTTTGATGGGGCATTAGAGATTGTAGAGTGGAAGGGAAAACATCATTGACACCCACCGAGTGGGGCATTAAAAGATAAGTAGGAGTTCACCATGTGGAGGACAATAACAACCATAAGGATAGTGCTCTGTGCCACACACGTGGTGGCTGACACACTATACAGTGAACGCAGCATCCACCTTCAGAGGTAACTCATCCACAAGGAACCCCGAGGCTGAGAGGAGACACAGCCCAGTAGGTGGCGAGGTTTGGAACAGGGAGCAAAGACCAACTCTGGAGAATGATGGTTGAGAAGGAACCCTGGGGCAGGAGATTGTGGGAGGTGGGCAGACGTATGGGTGCAGGGGAAATGAGTGTCCCTACGTTCTGGCTTTCCTGCCCTTTAGCCATAGCTCATACTGGGGTCCTGGGGTGAGGGCTGAGCCTTCCCCTCTCTCCACTTCCTGGCTGCACTGTGACAGGTGTAAGAATGAATGAGAGAGTGAATGAATGCGTGATGGTGACTGAGAGCTAATGTGGCCACACCAGCTCCTGCCCCGAGTAATCCATCTAACCCACCTCACTCAGTGAGAGGGGTTCTGTCTGTGCCCATGGTACAGATGGGGATACTGAGGCAGGAGAGAGGAATGACGGGCAGCCATTTCATTTCATTCCTGAAAGGAAGGGGTCAGATCTCTGGCCCCTGGAAACCCCTGTCTCCCTGGGCACCCCCTCCCTCTGCCACTCGTGCGGGAGGTACAGGGAGCCCTCCTCCCCACACACTCACCATTTTGCGGATGGCAGCGTTGGAATGGTTGGCAGCTGTGGAGATCAGCTCCAGGGACCCTGCAGGAAAGATGCCAGGTTGGCCTTGGGCTGCCCCTGCTCTGGTCCCCACCCCCTTTCAGGCCCAGTGCAGGGGCATATGTGCTGCATGCAGGGTGCAACCTGGCCAACGAACCAGGCTTCCTGGGTCTGCTGGGGCCTGTGCAGACCCTTGCCTCAGTGATGCTGCCCCTGGACCAACTGCAACCCCACTAGCCCTAGGGGCGTGTGCTACCCCTACTCTGAACCAGCATCCACCCCAGCACTACAGGTGACAACAGCACGACAGATGTGATGGCTTGGGAGCTGTGCCATGCAGCATCCCCTGTTTCCTCTCTGTCTCTGTTCTCTCCCCCCCTCTGTGTCTGTTCTCCCCCCACCAACCATTTATCTCTGTCTCTTTGTCTCTCTGTCTCTCTGTCTCTCTGTTTCTCTCTGTCTCTCTCTCCCCCCTCCCTTCATCTGTCTTCCTCTCCCAGTCCTCCCCTCCACCCCCCATTTCCTCTCACTACCTCCCCTCCCCCAGCAACTCCCCTGAGTCCTGATGCCCGCCCGCCCACCCGCCCTCACTCTCAGCATCTTTGCGGTCTGGAGCGTCGGCAGGGAGTCTCTTCAGATAGTCTTTGAGCAGGAGTTCATAGCGAGGCACCCTCTGCACGGGCTCCAGCATGTGGTGCTGCAGCGTCAGGTTCCCACACACGTCCTGTTTCTGCGGGACAGACAGAGGGCGAGGTGCCCGGATGCTCTAATCTTTGCCACACCCGTCGCTCTGTCCAGCCCGCCCCGAGGCCGGAGGCCCTGCTCCTGGTAGACCACACTGCTCGGGCAGGGAAGAGTCGGCCAGGCCCAGGGGCCGCCTCCTACACCCCGTCCTGGCTTGGGCAAGGGCTGCTCGCATCCCCCTGAGCAACGGGCCCCCTCGAGCTGGCTGCAGGCCTGAGCTGCGTCCCTCCCTCAGCTGGACGATCCTCGCTCTCTGAGGGACTCCCAGGTGACTTGCTGTGACCCATCATGGTCTGCGTCATGTGGGGCCAGCCCTGCTCTTGCCTCTACCCAGTCCAACCAGCACCACTCCTGGGCTCCCCAAACTGTCCCCAAAACACAGCCTCTGACGCTTTTCTTCGTTTTGGTTTTTGGCCACACCCAATGGTGCTCAGGGCTTACTCCTGGCTCTGCGCCAGGTATCACTTCTGGGGATGCTCAGGGGGCCACGTGGGATGCCCAAGTGTATCAAACCCAAGTCAGCTGTGTGCAAGGCAAAGCCCTCCCTGCTGTGCTATCGCTCCAGCCCCAGGCTCTTTTATCACCTCATTCATACTCCCCACCAGCCTCTGTGCTCCCCCAGTTCTAGCCCCCCTGCCCTGCCCTTCCCCCTGCTCCTTCAGAGCTACCCTTGCCCTCACGCCTGCGGGTGAGTTCACCTGCTTCCTCCTACAACAGTGACTTCTGTTTAATTGTTCAGGGCTGGGAATCGAGCCCAGGACCTTGCACTTGTGAGACAAGTGCTCTCATTCCTGGCCCCTCAGAACAGAGACTTCTAAAACCGCAAAGGTAGACGAGTCATTCTGCGACACACACACACACACACACACACACACACACAAACATGGTTTCAGGTAAGACTCCACTGGGGGGAGGGGCAGCAGGAAGTGTCATAGATTCAGGATGTGTGTTCATATAGAGACATAACAAAGTGCTTCCTGTGGGGGTGAGGGTTGAGTAAGTGGACAGTGGCCAGGCTTGGCAACCCCCTCACCTCCCACCCAGAGAGCATGCTCAGGAATGAAACAAACAGCAGTTGTAGCTCCCGGAGGAGGCGGTGAGCCTCACTCTTGCCACATTTCCACAGACACAGGCTGAACTCTGGTTCTGGGTGAACCCAAAGATGAGATAAGGAAGGTGCAGGCCTCGTCAGAAGGTGCAAGGCACAGAGGCAGGAAGGAGACATGACATGCATCCCCAGTTGGGCTCTAGGCCTGAGGAGGGAAGAAGAACATTCTAGAACATCTGGTGGGGCTTGTGCAAGGCTGTGGAGGGTTAGTGCTGTCACCTCAGCATCAGGCCCCTGCTCCTGCCCGCTTTGCATCTTGCAGAAGGAAGTGAGACCTACAATGTGGTCCTTAGAGTTTCAGAAATGTTAAATATGTTTTGATTGAACTAAGGAAAATTCCCAAGGTCCGGGGCAAGCTGTGTTGCCATGTACCCCCAGGTGGACCCGGTCAGGGTTTCTGCATTTGGAACACTGCTCTGGGGCCGCTGGTGCCAAATGAAAGGACATTCAGCCACAACCCAGCTTCTTTCCACCAGACACATGTGTGCTTTGAATGTCACCGGACCCCGCAGGCAGGAGAATTGAATCTTGATCAACCTGAATATGTACTTGCCTCTAAATTCTTGGCCCGGAAGACTCAGTGCCCATGAAGCTGCCAGGGTAAGAGGAACATGTTTACTCACATGTGCGTGCTTTGTTTATTCTGAGTTGTCTATACACGTGTGTGTTTGCATGTTGCCTTGTGTACATGTGTGGTGCACATGTATTAGTCATGCCCCATGTGTGCACCTGTGTGTGTGCTAGAGGCCACCAGGAGGTACAAAAAAGTGAATAACTACTCAACAAAAATAAAGCTTCGGGACTGGAGCGATAGCACAACATGTAGGGCGTTTGCCTTGCATGGGGCTAACTCAGGTTCAATTCTCAGCATCCCATTTGGTCCTCCGATCACCGTCAGGAGTAAATCCTGAGTGCATGGGCCAGGAGTAACCCCTGTGCATCGCCGGGTGTGACCCAAAGATAAATAAATAAATAAATTTTTTCATTTCATTTTTTTTCATTTCATCATCCTGTTATTCGTCGATTGCCTCGAGCAGGCCCCAGTAACGTCTCTTTCATCCTAACCCTGAGATTATATTCAAGGCTCTTTAGGAGAATGAGACCCATCATTGTTACTGGTATTTGGCATATTTGGTACGCCACGGGGAGTTTGCCAGACTCTGCCCTGTGGGCAGGCTACATTCGATAGCCTGCAAGTTTGTCCAAAGTAGGAATGAGATGATAAGATGTCATAAAAGATGTCCTGATAAGATGTCGCACGCCGCGAATGCGGCCGCGCGGTTCCGGGAGCTGGATTTTATAGTCTCTGAGTCTAATAAATAAATAAATAAAATAAATAAAACTGCATCTCAACCTTACACTAGCTTCCACTTGGAAATTCTGTGTGTTAGTATTTTTTACTTTGAAAAAATGACAACATAGCAAGGAGGAAAACGTAAGTGCTGTCATCTTGGGGATTACAATGCTTTTTAGAAGCATTCAAGCCTCACTTTATTTAGAACTTGGTGAGCATGACTTCCTAGAAGCCATTTTGCATGCAAAACATTATATATATATATTATATATATATATATATATCGGGTGGAGCGATAGCACAGAGGGTAGAGCGTTTGCCTTGCATGCGGCCAACACGGCCAACCCGAGTTCGATTCCTCCGCCCCTCTTGGAGAGCTCGGCAAGCTACTGAGAGTATCTTGCACGCACAAGGACGTTACTGGCCCCGCTCAAGCAAATCAATGAACAACGGGAGGACAATATATATGTAGGACTGAGCAATAGTACAGTGTATATGGCCCTTGCCTTTCGTGCAGCTGACCCAGGTTCAATCTCTGGCACCCTTATGGTCACCTGAGGCCACCAGGAGCAATCCCTGAGTTCAGAGCCAGGATTGAACCCTGAGCATCACTAGGTGTAACCCTCAAACAAAACTGTAAAATCAAGCCACAGACCGGGGACGTTTCACAGCAACTGGGCGGCCCACCACCACATCTCCACTCACCTGGATCCCCTGCACCACCTCCTTGAACAGGGGCGAGCGCTGCGTCCAGGTGCTCACCAGCTCCACAGCCCTGTCAAAGTTCTTCACGTACTCGCCGTACATCTTGAGGAACGGGGCCAGCTTCTGCAGGATGTCCCCCAGTCGGGGCTTCGTGTCCCTGCGTGGGGGGACAGCAGTGAGGCCATGGGAAGGGGTCCAGTTGAGGACTGGAATTGGAGAGACTATCCCAGGGGCTTGAGGACATGACTTGCTCCCGGCCCGAGTGAATCAGTCACTGTCCCTGAGTCTCATGTCCTCGGGCCCGGAGAGCTGGGGGAGCCATCTGGAGAAAGCAAGCTCAGAATGTTTCCCGGGGACCGGAGAGATAGTACAGTGGGTAGGGTGTTTATTTTGACGTAACAAACCCGGGTTTGGTCCTGGCACCCCATATAGTCCCCCAAGTCTGCTAGAAGTGATTCCTGAGTGCAGAGCCGGGAGTAAACCCCAAGCATTGCCATTTGTGTCCTTAAAAACAAACAAACAAACAAACAACAAAACCATCTCCATCTCCAGGAAGCAGGGGTTAGTCCCAATGCACTCCTTTAAATGACTCAGCGCTGCTGGGTCCAAGCAGAAAACTTCCTGGCCCGGTTAGCCTGAGTAACACCAGAGGGGATCTGGGATCATTGCTTTGCAGGGTCCCCCTCAAAAAAAAAATTCCAATGAAGGGGAGGTCAGGGCCATAGATGGGTTCTTTGTCTCATGGAGGACCGAGAGAAGCATCTTGGCCCTGAGTGAAAGCTTCGTCCTCCTCCCCCCAGCCCCTGGGGTGTCTGTGTCCCTCCACAATAGCCTCCAAACTTGACCCCACTGCACCCCTCCTCCAGCCCTTGCACCCCGTACTCTGCCTCTCGCAGGGAACCAAGAATTGCATCTTGCCTGGATTCCCCCGACAGCCCTTTCTCTCTCCGGCCGCTTCCTTCAAGCAGCCTGTGGACCCCTTCGCGTCTGCCCCAACCAGGCAGACCCTATGAATCCCCTGATACTGTCCAGCTCTGCACCTCCAGAACTTCCTTGCTGGATTCCTTTGACCACTTTGCATCCACAAAGATGAGGAACAGTCACCCCACCCAGCGTGTGTGCACGGGGATTTGAAAATGTCGCAAGAAAACTAAACAATACACAGGGTCTTTGACCCTGAATTGTTGGAGCACCTGCCCCAGAAACGATGGAAAAGAAGGGGACAGGCTAGGTGACATGAGCCATTCACTGCAGCATGGTGGGCACCAGAACACGAGGGCAGCGGAAGGTTAATGGACCCTTGCACTGGGCAGGGCCAGGAGCAGCCCCGCACACATGCACTGAGTCGCTCCATGAGATCTGGAAAGCACCGTCCTGCAGTGGACGGTGTCCACCCAATGACTGGCAGTCCTGAGCTTCATCCAGACTCTTGGAGGCACTGGGTAACTTGCTCTGTGGCTTGAGCTCGTCCTTCTAACAGTCTAAAGCTTGAGTTGGCCCTCAGGGAAATTTGCAGGTCTTCTGTCCCTGCCGAAGCCTCAGCAGTCGCCTTCCCTCCAACCCAGCCACAGCGGGGTGCTCTTGGCTCAGGGTCCCCCAAAGCTCAGGGTCCTGATGCTCCTGATGAGCTCAATGCTCCAGGAGACCCTCATGTTGGCGCCAGTCAGGTCAGTGAGAAAAGGCAGACAGCAGAGTCCCTGAAGCAAAGCTGTAGCCGCCCGGACCCTGAAGGGAGCACTTGGCACTGTACTGAGTGCTTTTCCCTTTGTGCTTTATTTGCTTTGGAGCCCTACCCAGCAGAGCTCAGGGTCCTCTCCTAGTAGGCTCAGCAACCTGTGGTGCTGATGTAGATCTCCTCTGGTGCCTGGAATCAAACCCAGGTCTGCTGCAAGATAAGTGTCCTACACACCATACTATCTCTCTGGCCTCTCATTTTGGGGTTTTGTTTTATAAACTTATTTATGTATATAAATGCCACACCCAGTGGGCTTGGGCTGCCAGGGCCACGCCTAATGATGGGAGCCATCTGGGCTGCTTCTGAGTCTCTCTTCTCTCCTGGAAACACTCTCTCTCTCTCTCTCTCTCTCCTCTTTGGGGAGCCACTCCCAGTGATGTTCTGGGGTATTGAATCTGGGGCTCCTGTATGCAAAGTGTGTGCTCAGCCCTTTAGGCCATTGCCCTGGTCTAGAATTCTCATTCTCTTTGTTTTGTTTGGGGGTCACACCCAGCCATGCTCAGCGCTTACTCCTGGTTCTGCACTCAGGGATCACTCCTGGAGGGGTTCAGGAGAACATGTGTTGTGTCAGGGATCAAAACTGGGGTTGGTCGAGTGCAAGGTAAGTGGCTCACCTGCTATACTATCTCTCCAGCACCTAGAAATCTCTTTCTTTAAAGCAAAGGCGGCATATCTTAGGAGGGAAAATAAGACGGTCAGCTCTGTTGATTTGTTGTTTGGGGTTTAAAGATATCAAATCTCATTTAAAATCACACACAGCCCTGAGTGGGCATTAAATCTCCTCGGGCTTGCGATAAACCTGGCACTTAGGGATGGTAAGAAGTATGGAGTTCAGAGAGATAGGACATTGGGAATGGCATTTGCCTTGCATGGGGCTGACCCAGGTTCAATTTCCCCGGCATCCTAGAGTCCCCTAAGCCCTTCCAGGAGTGATCCCTGAGACCAGCCAGTGTTTCCCCAACACAAACCAAACCAAAAGAGAACATATGGATTGGAGTGGACCCATGGCAGTGAAGGAGCCCAGGACCCTGGGAAATGGGCCGCCGGCTGGGCCTACCTGGCTTATAAACACATGGACCTCAGATTCTGAAGCCCCGTGGCAGGGAGAATTCAGGTGACCCAACGCGACTGAACTATGTGATCTCAACACCCATTGTGCTAAGACAGACCCCAGCCCCGGGCAGCATCCCTCGATCCCGACAGCACCCTCACTGGTCCTCAGGCACCCCTGGCAGCCCCTCACCATGCCCCAGGTGCCCCTGTAGACCCCTCACCACTCCCGGGAACTCTCCACAGCCCCTCACCACTCCTGGGCACCCCCACAGCCCCTCACCACCCCCGGGAACCCCCCACAGCCCCTCACCACTCCTGGGCATCCCCTACAGCCCCTTACCACTCCTTCAGGATGCGCAGCTGCAGCTCGGGCAGGAGGAACTGTCCATGGAAACGGTAGATGGAGGAGATGTTTGAGAAGATGCCCGTCGTCACTTCCGGAGAGATGCCTGCTGCTGCCAGCCTGGTGCAGAATACCTGGGTGGGCATGGAGGCCACAGCCGGCCCGTCAGTATGGGTGATGAGGCTGCAGTCAGTGTGTGGGCTTGGGAGAGGCTGCGGAAGCCCCTCAAACTGGCGCAAGCAACCTGACGGTCTTCCTATAAGTTTAAGCTGACGACGGCCTAGCAGGACGGCCAGTCCCCCTCTGAGAGGGAGCTGACCACTGTCCAGACCCACAGCCCACGAGCTGTGGATATGCCGATTTGCCTTCTCTGTCTGGAGGCTACCTCCAGAAGCAACACCTGGCAAAGCCTCTTCCCACTGATGCATCATCTAATGAGACCCTGATCAACCCCCCCGCTGGAGGCCGGTACAATAGCACAGCAGAGAGGGCCTTTGTCCTGAACACAGCCACCCTGCTTTGATCCCCAGCATCCCATATCCCTGAGCCTACCAGGAGTGGTTTCTGAGTTCAGAACCAGGAGTAACCCCTGAGCATCACCAGGTGTGGCCCAAAGCAATAACAAAAACCAAACAAACAAAAATCCCACAAACCATGTACCATGTCACTGGGGGGGGGGGGGGGGGGGAAACAGCTGTGCATTCAGAAAAACTCCCAGAAGTCCTTTTTATGCCAGAAAAGGCCACGTTGAAAGGCATTATGGGAATCCCATAAGGAGATAGGAGAGAGAAAGGGGTAAAGAACTTCTTTAGGAAATTAATGGATGGAAGCTTCCCAATTCTGAGAAAAGGAATGACATACAAAATCAAGACACTCATCAGACTCCAACTAGGATAAAGGGGAAAAGAACCACACTGAAAATTACTGTTTTTTTTTTTTAAGTCCCCTCCCTCCCTCCCTCCCTCCCTCCCTCCCTCCCTCCCTTCCTTCCTTCCTTCCTTCCTTCCTCCCTCCCTTCCTTCCCAGCCAGACCTTGGCCCAGACCTGTGTGATCTCCAAACCCAGAGTACAAGACTATGGAGGACTTCAATCCCCTGGACCCTGAGCCCAAAGCTCACTCATCTTCCCTCCAGAAGGCACAGGCGAGCTTGAAACTGCCCAGGAGCTCTACAAGAGGACATTGGGGTCCTTGACCATGTGGGTACCTGGTCTAGCAGGTGTAGCCGCTTCACGTATGTCTCCTCGGTGCTGAGCAGCTCCTGAGCGATATGGAGCAACTTCTGAGGCTCTGAGCACTGCAGAGAAGAGAGACAGGGATTACCTGGGGGAGGTGGGGCTGGGGGCAGCAGGGAGTGCACAGGCGGGCTGCAGGATGCCAGGGCTGGGGGGGTCCCCTGGAGTCAGTGTGGGGCTGCTTTCCCACAGAGAGGATTGCCAGGGAAGGTTCTACAGAACACACGGCAGTTTGTACCCATGTGGCTGAAATTCAAGGAGAATGCAGGACTTTCTGGGCCTTTGAAAGACAGCTCCAGAAGCTGCATCAAAATCTATTTATTGGAGGCTGGAGCAATAGCACAGCGGGTAGGGCGTTTGCCTTGCACGCAGCCCACCTGAGTTTGATTCCCAGCATCCCATATGGTCCCCCGAGCACCGCCAGGAGTGATTCCTGAGTGCAAAGCCAGGAGTAACCCCTGAGCATCGCCGGGTGTGACCCAAAAAAGCAAAAAAATCTATTTGTGGGTGACCTCCTCGGCATAGGTGCTGGGAGGCTGCATGTCTTCTTCCACCTCTGAAACCTGGAGGTACCAGCCCTGTGTGCACAGGAATGTGTCTGTTGGCGCATGAGAGGCCACTGAGAAGCTGGAGCCACTAGGCACAGTGATGTCGCTTTGCAGAAAAAGGGCAACAAGATTCGGGGTGCTGGCCAGCCTCGTTTCCTGCCTCTTCTTCCCCCAGTGTGGGGCCAGAAAGAGCCTCTCTATAGAGCAGGTCCTCCCTTGGGGTGACAGCTAGAGTGACAAGAGGCAATTGTGTGTCCAGTTTTCCAGCTGCTCTGGGAGAAGCCTGTGGGCCTGGCTTGATTGTAGGAAAGTGTAATCAGCACCAGAAGGGCCCTGACATCGTCAAGTCAGAGGCGAAAAAAAAAAAAAAGTCAAAAGAATCAAGAAGAACAAAGAGGGCCCAATGGATAGGCTGGGTAGACTGATGGGCCCATTACAGGAATCCCACAGGGACAGAGGACAGAGAAACAGGCAAAGAAGCCCCTTAGGAAATCAATGAATGGATGCTTCCTAGTCGGAGAGAAGGAATGATACGCAAACCCAAGATGCTCAACAAACTCCAACTAGGATAAAGAGAAAGAGAAGCACACTGAGAACTATTATTTTATTTTTTAAAAGAAACTCATTTCCCAGGCTGCAGCGATAGCACAGCAGGTAGGGCGTTTGCTTAGCACGAGGCTGAGCCGGGTTCGATTCCTCCGTCCCTCTCAGAGAGCCCGGCAAGCTACCAAGAGTATCCTGCCCGCACGGCAGAGCCTGGCAAGCTCCCCGTGGTGTATTCGATATGCCAAACACACTAACAACAAGTCTCACATTGAAGATGTTACTGGCGCCCACTCAAGCAAATTGATGAACAACGGGAGGACAGTGCTGCTGTGCAACTCATTTCCATTGTCCTTCCTTCCCTCTTTCCCTCCCTCCTTCCCTCCCTTCCTTCCTTCCTTCCTTCCTTCCTTCCTTCCTTCCTTCCTTCCTTCCTTCCCTTCTCCCTCCCTCTCTCCCTCTCTTCCTCCCTCCCTCCCTCCTCACTCCCTCCCTCTCTATCTGTCCCTATCTCTGTCTCTGCTCACTCCCCAGAGGTTGTCATGGTGACCGCAGTGACGCTAGGGGTCCATGTAGTGCTGGGTTTCCTACATGCAGACTTAAGCAAGGCTCATTCAGCTCCCCTGTGACTCTGTAAGCTCTTTGCTTCCTTATCATGGTGAGGACAAGGAGGAGTCACACAGCAGTGCTCAGGGCCACTAAGGCCTCTCCCAGCAGTGCCTGATGTCCAGTGGACTCTGTGGATCCAGAGGTTGACCTAGGGCCTCCTTCTTGCAAAGCACAAATTCTAGTCCTTCAAGTGCCACCTCCAGCCTCCCACCTTTTTTTTTTTTTTTAATCCACACCTGGTGATGCTCAGGCCTTACTCCTAACTCTATGCTCAGGAATTACTCCTGGCACTGCTCAGAGCACCATATGTGGTACTAGGAATTGAACCCCGCCAGGTGCATGCAAGGCAAACACCTTACCTGCAGGACTAGGTGTCTGGCCCAGTACTGTTGTATATTACTTAAACAAACTCATGCCAGTGCCTGCCATCAGTAGCTAACGCTCTCATGTGGCTTAATTAGCACAAACTGCCATGCTCATGGGATGCCGGGGATCGATCCTGGGCCAGTGTCATGTAAGGCAAGCACTCTCCCTATTGGACTATCGCTGTGCTCCTTCTATTCCAACTCTTTTTTTTAATGATCTATTTATTTGTTTGTTTGTTTGTTTGTTTTGGGTCACACACAGCAATGCTCAGGTATTACTCCTGGCTCTGCACTCAGGAATCACTCCTGCTGGTTCTCAGGGGACCATATGGGATGCCGGGGAAAGAACCCGGGTCAACCACTTGCAAGGCAAACATCCTCCCCACTGTCCTATCACTCCGGCCCTCTATTCCAACTCTTAATAATGCGAGAAGTTATCCTATATTCTAAAATAAAAAACTAGTGGGGCCAGAGCAATAGAACAGAGGGGAAGACATTTGTCTTGCATGTGGCCAACGGTTTCAATCCCCAGCATCCCATATGGTCCCCTGAACACTTCCAGGATTAATTCCTGAGTGCAGAGCCAGGAATAACCCGAGTATCATCAGGCATGACCCAAAAAAGCAAAAAAAAAAAAAAACCACACCAAAGTGACCCCCATGTTGGGGCATGGGGTAGGTACTGCAGGGGTGGAGTAGGGGGCTGAGTGCAGGCTTTGCCTGTGAGACACCCAGGTTTGCTTCTCTGCACCACGTGTTTCTCCAAGCACCCAAGAACAACCCCTGAGCACAGTATTAGGAGTAGCCCCAGGAACCATCAGCTGTTTCTCTCCTTTCCCTCTCCACAATGCCCAATTTATGGGAGGATACGTTTGAAAGAAAAATTGTCAGACAATTTTTCTTTCTTTATTTATTTATAAATAAAATATCTGGGCCTCGAGAGATAGTTTAGCATGTGACCAACCTGAGCACATCTGGTACCCCATGTGCTCCCTGAGCTCTACTGGGAGTGATCCCTGAGCACCTCTGGGTGTGACTCAAAACCAAAAGAAAAAAGGAAAAAAAATCATATTATAGTTGGTAAAACTATGCATCAAAAATGAAGAAAGGAGGCCAGAGAGATTAGGTGCTTGCCTTGTACACAGTCGGCTTGGGTTTGGTCTTTGGGACCCTACACGGTCCCCGAGCACCACTAGGGGTGATCCTTGAGCACAGAACCAGTAATAAGTCCTGAGACCACCAAGTGTGGCCCCCAAACAAAACAAACAAATACTGTACTGTATGACTCTGATAGCGTGATTGAAATGGAAAGAGTTAAGCTCTTAATCTTTGTAAGTTGGTGTATAATATACACGGATGTGGGCATGTGGGAAAGTTGTGGAGACAGAATGCCTGTGTGACCCAACTCATCTGTCCACAGCAGTGTACACTGGTGAACGTTCCACACGGGAGCAGACAGAGGACGCCTGGGACTCAGCCACAGGGAGCCGCTGAGGGGGCAGGGAGGGGAGATGGGAGACGATTCCAGTGGCCTCTGTGTGTGTGTGTGTGTGTGTGTGTGTGTGTGTGTGTGTGTGTGTGTGTTGGCTGTGTTGTAGCACCACACTCTCAAGAGGCATAAAATTGTATGATGAAGACACAGCCTGACATAAGCCCTGCTGGCATCTCAATAAAATAGGAACAGAAGAGTCTCCTTTCAGGGGTCCCACCTATAGCGCGTTGCTAGGGAAGTCTGTGTGATGTGAGGAGCCAGAGCAGCCCCTCCCGGGTGTGAAGACATTTCCGGTGTTGCTCTTGCAACTGCCTTTTAGCATCGATGGTCATTCTTGCCTTTGGAACAGGGAAGGGAGGGCAGATGTAGTCTGAGTGAAGCAAATAAATAAATAAAATGAAAGGTGAACGAAACTGGACGATTTAACTTTGACCTGCTTCATGCAATGGCAATGGTCACTGCAAAGACCGTGTCACAGAACAGCCGCAAGGGCGATGAGAAGGAAGGAACGTCCACATTCTAAGAAAGCAGTGACCACTGGAGAGATGAGGCCATGGGGCAGGTGCTGCAAGGTGGGTCGTGGACCCCAAGGGTATCATAGGTGCCAGTACCCTGAAGCCCAGCCTGGGTCCACAGGTGGAAACTCATGGGGGGGGGTGAGTGTCACTCCTCCCTCCCCGCCCACTGGCCCACCCCATAGCAGTGCCAACACGGTGACCCCCCGAGATGCTGCAGTCCCCTCCAGGACACCCTGGTTCCGGTGCCTACCTTGGCCAGCTCTGCCTCGTCGGGCATGTGGGTCTGGGGGGTGCCGGTCTCGGGGGCAGGCTCCTCACCACTGCCCTCGCCCACGTCGATGTCGGGCTGCAGGCCGGGGGGGGCCGCCCTCCTGGCCCGGGAACGGCTCCCCGGCCACACTGCAGGATGGGCTGTCGATGCCGCTGTCCCGGTTAGGGACCTTCCTGCTGCTGATCAGCTGTCCCTTGGGATCCATGTCCCCTGCGGAGGCCTGGCTGCTCGGGGGCCCAGATGCAGGGGACCCTGGGTGGGCTCTGGGTCCCACGGGCAAAGCTGGGAGCTTCCCCGGGTCTGTGCTGGGCAGCTCCTGGGAGGTGCTGCTGGGCTCAGCCTCAGACACCCCCAAGGCAGCCTCAGGACCTGGGCAGGGGGCGGCACCCCCAGTTGGCTCCATCTTCGGTGCTCACCAGGCACTCTGCAGGGGTGGGGGGCTGGCCTAGGGTGTCCTGTCGAAGAGAATGAGCCCAGTCAGTCCCACTTGACCAACAACAAACCCCCCAAGAAAGTGCACATGGAGAAGAAACGCTGTCAGTTTCACAGGGTGTCTCTGGGTAGGAGGGGAGTGTGCGGGGAGGGCTGACTCAGGAGAATGTTCTCCAGCGAAGAAAGGAGAGGAAGGAAGGAAGGAAGGAAGGAAGGAAGGAAGGAAGGGAGGGAGGGAGGGAGGGAGGGAGGGAGGGAGGGAAGGAGAGAGGGAGGGAAGGAGAGAGGGAGGGAAGGAGAGAGGGAGGGAAGGAGGGAAGGAGAGAGGGAGGGAAGGAGGGAAGGAAGGAAGGGAGAAGGAGGAAGGGAAGGAAGGGAGAAGGAGGAAGGGAAGGAAGGAAGGAGGGAAGGAAGGAAGGATGGAAGGAAGGAAGGAAGGAAGGAAGGAAGGAAGGAAGGAAGGAAGGGAGGGAGGGAAGGAGGGAAGGAGGGAGGGAGGAAGGGAGGGAGGAAAGAAAAGGAAAGGACGAGAGACAGGAAGAATCTTGCAGCATGGCATTACCTGCATCTAATGGAATGAATGTAAACACGTGAGGTGGGTGGGTGGGAGCATGGCTGCTACCCAGGGCTGTCAGGACCCCTGCTGTGGCTGTCCTCCCCACCCCCACCCTGCCGGCTTCCTCTCCCCATGCTCTCCTCTGCAGAGCCCTCTGGGAGGGAAGGCCACTCAGGCCTGTGTCTAGCGGGCAGGAGGGTCCAAGCACAAACTGATACCCCCAGCCCCCCAAGCCAGTGGGCATAGCCAGGAGCCAGATCACCTGTTGCTGGGGCCGGCCAGGCTCCCAGGGCTGTCAGGCCTCTCGGTCTGCGGGCGGCCGCTGCAGTCTGGTCCCTGCTCAGCAGGTTTGAGGCGAGCAGGTCCTGCAACACAGGAGGAAATCTGAGCGTGCCCTTCTCTGGGGCGCTGGAGAGAGGGAGAAGGGGCACCCTCCTCCCGGGCCTGGGCGCCTGCTGGCAGGACAGGGCCTGTCAATTGTGCCCAGGGGACAGTGACATTAGAACCGTCTGGAAACTGACAGGGCCTCGCCTTTCACTGTCCAGGGTGCCCAGGCCAGGGGACGGTCTCTGGGGTGCAACCTGTCTGCATGGGGCAAGGCTGGGGTTCAGCCGTAGCCCCGCTTCCCCCACGAACGCCTGCACAAGGACCAGCCCCTTCCCCAGTGGGGAGTCCCCATGGAATCCTACGTCTCTTACACACACAGACATACAGAGAACCCACAGATGCACACAGAGATACACAGACTCACACTCACAAATAGACACACACATAGAGATGCACACAGGCACACAGAGGTACACACTTTCACGCACTCCTATACAGACACACAGGCACACACAGACACAGGTGGAGACACACAGACATACTCACACACATATGCACACACGGACACACACAGAGACCCACAGACACTCACAGATACACACAGTCACACACAAATACATGCAAACAGAGACACATGAATACACAGAGATACATAGACACACACACACAGACACACAGAGATATACACAGACACAAACTCAATCACAGACACACACACACAGAGATACAGACACATACAAATACAGAGAGATACAGTCACACACTCTCATACACATAGACACACACTCACACAGACACAGACACACACACACACACACACACACACCACGCACACGGAAACCCCGGGTCTGCCTGGCCTCTCCTACCCTGGGCTAAGACAGCAGGAAGGAAGTGTGCCTCCGGCGGCCACGCCACCCTCCTGCCTCACCCTGAGCTGGTCTTTCTCTAAGCGGCCCCAAGTCCGGAGCAGGAAGTGTTTCTCTGGGGCCACAGCCACCTTAAAGAGCTTAATGGAGAAAAAGAATATTAAGATTCCTTCACAGAAAAGACACGCTTTGCTGCATTCTTTGCATACCACAGGAGATAAACTCAAGTTTCCTGAAATTAGACATGACACGGCTATAAAAATATGCCTGGTGAAATGCGGGCCACGGTCAGCCCTAGTGTCCAACACTTCCAAACGGTCCTGCCAAGGCACTAGCGAGCCCAGTGTGGGGATTTCTTCTTCTGGGTCAAGACAGAGTCAACAAACCTGAGTTACAGCTTCACCTGGGAATCACCCCAACACACAAGGGCAAAAGCCCCAGAGACACCCGAATAAAACCTGGGAACAATGCCAGGTCACAGACTTTCTTGGCTCCAACACAGGAGATTCGCCACACTCAGCAACGAACCAATAATTCCCCGTCACACAGGGCTGGAAGTACCACAAGTGTCAAGACAAAACGTCAGGGATCAATACACCATCACACCAGCAAGACCCTGGGCTGCGCGGGCTCCTTTATTCTCTTCAGAGCCTGCATGGACTTTTGACGGTGAAGGAGGCTCGAGAAAACTTGCCAACGTTTTTTTGTTCTCTTCCTCACACAGCGACAACTGACATTCTTTTGACTCTGGTGGCATCAAAACAGTCTTTCAAATACCTCAGTGCTGACAAGGGCCAGACTCAGGGCCAAAAGGGTTATGGCGACACGTGGGATGAATCACCTGGATCAAAAGTCACCTTTGACCTCACTGGGGACCAAATCAATAACCTGGATGATGCTTCTCTGCTGTTTGGGATCGATGCAAACGGTACAATTTGATGGAATTCCATTGTGTGTTCCTCAGCTCTGCAAGCCCACCTTTCTCTCTCATCAATACAGATAATTTCCCCACTGAAAACTCCTATTATATGCAGATTGTTTCATGATCCCAATTCTATTCACTCTGAAGCCATATTCGGTCATCCCCTCTCCAAAGTCTATCCTACAGTCGGTGCTGATATAACTTGCTTCCCAGCTTTGCTGGAGCGATAGCACAGCGGTAGGGCGTTCGCCTTACAAGTGGCCAACATGACCGACCCGAGTTCGATTCTTCCGTCCCTCTCGGAGAGCCCGGCAAGCTACCGAGAGTATTCGATATGCCAAACACAGTAACAACAAAGTCTCCAATGGAGACGTTACTGGGCCCGCTCGAGCAAATCGACGATCAACGGGAGGGCCTTTACCTTTACCTTTACCCAGCTTTGCTAGCTGTTTTTCTCTGGGACAATGGAAGTGACCATCGTGGGCACAGAGGGTAGCATTGCAGCACTGTCTTCCTATTGTTCAACGATTTGCTCGAGTAGGCACCAGTAACGTCTCCCTTGTGAGACTTGTTGTTACTGTTTTTGGCATATCGAATACAACACGGGGAGCTTGTCAGGCTTTGATGTGTGGGCGGGATACTCTCGGTAGCTTGCCGGGTTCTCCAAACCCGGGTTGGCTGCATGCAAGGCAAATGCCCTACCCACTATGCCATGGCTCCAACCATAGAGGGTACCCAGACGCAGAAGGTAGTTGAGCAAAAAAGGCCATCATGGCAGGTGCTGTGCCCATCTGTTGTCATGTTCCAAGGTGTGAGGGGATGTGGAGACATAACAAACAAATGCACAACCAATTCACAGAGGTGAGAAGCAAGGACTGAGAGAGCAAGGCACCGTCAAAGGAACAAACTGGGAGCTGGAGAGATAGCATAGTGGGTAGGGCGTTTGCCTTGCATGTGGCTGACCCGGGTTTGATTCCCAGCATCCCATATGGTCCCCTGAGCACAGCCAGGAGTAACTCCTGAGTGCAGAGCCAGGAGTAACCCTTGTGCATTGCCAGGTGTGACCCAAAAATCAAAAAATTAAAAAAAATTTAAAAAAAGGAACAAACTATAGATTGGATTTCACAAATGGGGAGAGACAATAGAAACTCAAATGAGAGGGGTTGGGAGAGTGTGAGAGAGGCAAGGGAAAGAAAGAGAGAGAGGAAAACAGCATGAGGGAAACGGGAGAAATGGGGTGACTTCCCACAGCCTGGTTCCATCTGGGCAGTCTCCGTTCATATGTAATGGGAACACCCTCCTTCCCAAAGCAGGATGGACAGGAAACATAACTGAGGAAATGAAGAACAAGGTTTTTCTAGATTTGATGAAAACTAGAAACCCACAGACAAAAAAAAAAGAATCCATGAAAATCAAGTATATGAAAATGCCATTAAACATTTTTCCACACAGAAAACTCCAGAGTTAGATGCTGTCATGGTGGATCCAACCAAATGTTGAAGGAAGCAGAGACACTAATTCTACATGCACCTTTCCAGAACGTGGTGGGGAGTCAGGGTGCGAAGGGAGAATGTTTCCCAACATGGAGATATCTAGAAAATACTAAGCTGAGTGAAAGGAGATGAAGAAGATCCCACTTGCTCTCCTCTTTACGTAGAAGCCGAGGCAGTCCTGCTGACTGTGGGAAGGGCTGGCTGAGGGCTGCGAGGGGTGCAAGGAGGCTTTCAGGGGGCGACACGTGCCTTGTCCTGAGAGCGAGGAGATACACGTGTCAGAACTTGAGTCATGTCAGGCACATTTGAAAAATTGTATGTCAGTTATACCACACAGGAGGCAAGACCTCTGGGGAAAGAAAAGTGGCCTCTGACCCCTGAGAGAGGAGCGAGCAGAGTCTCTGAGATAGCCACAGAAGATGCTAGAAGGCAGCTCTGCTCTCTGCTGTGCCACCAGCGCCCCCCTAATGACAGAGGTCATTAAACCCAGCGCCCACCTTTATTCCAACTGCCCGGAGCTGCTGCTACTGCTGCTGCCTGGGGGTGGAGGAGAACCAGACGCACATGCGGGCCAGAAAGGACACGCTCTGCCATAAAACTGCCTCTTTCATTCATCACACACAGGTCTCATCTGTCAGAGTTAACAAGCCCTGAACGTAAGCGACACATTTCCCTTCAGGGATCGTAGCATGTCCCCCTGTTGGCTTCTGGAGCTCGTGCTCTGTGGCATTGGTGTGATTTCTCTGTTACGGTCACAAGCCCCGTGGTGGCGCCACAGCCTCGGGCAAAGCCCACAGACCCAGGGGTCCACACTGGTCTGTGGAGGGACCTGAGGAGGCCGAGGGATGGGGGAGG